CTGCCTGAAGCCCATAGCGCTCGGGCAACTCGGCTCTTAAACAGAGCCGAAGAGTCCGGGGAGGAGCAGAGCCGCCGCGGGAGGGGAAGTGCCCGGCCGGCATTTTCCCGGACATGTTCGGCTTTTTGGCAATTCCCCTCGGACGGGGGTTTGATTGCCGAAAAGCCGGACATGTCCAGGAAAAACCGGACGTATGGTAACCCTAACATGGTAGTGAGGGGAGGGACAGCTGAACTGCCTACAATTGATAACCTGCTGGGCGGCTGCCACACAGGAAACAGAATGGGAGGGTAAGCAAGCCGTCTGCCTCCAGAAGAACAAGTCCTACAGAGATTGGGGAGGGAAATGGTATCTCAAAGACATTAAGCCTACTGCGCAGCTCTAGCAGTAGGTTTACTGGCTATTCTGAACATCCAAAGAAGGAGAAGGGATCCATTGGCTGGTTCCAAACATCTAGCAGGGGAAGTAACAGCCATCTACTGATCCCTAGAATAACAGACTAGATCTGAAGGTGGTGGTTGGTCAGAGGGATTTTCCCCAAGTAGCAAGGGGCACCCAGTTGCTGTGGGTTTTAGATGGGAGGAGGGGTGGGGGGAGACTAAGTTTAAATCCAAACTTACCCAAAGTTCAGGAGTGTTTGGAGCGGAGATTTTCTTGTGGGTGCATTTCTACTTAAAATGTATGAGAAATAGCAAATCATGCTTTCTGCTGTCTCCCTACCTGTCATTATCCTCTTCAGGGTCTCGTTGAGGTAGACTCTAAAAGCCTTATTGGCTTGTGCATTTCCTAAGAGATCACAGCTTAGGCCGTAAGGGAACTGCCAGCGATTGGTGAAACCAGCTTGTATGCGGGAGTAACGTTGTCTCAAGGGCAATAGAGCCTTAAACAAACATATTGATAAATCTTTGTAATATGTGTTTCTCAGGGTCTGGGTTTCTACACCAAGAGTGTTCTTGGAGCACAGAAACGAGCACTCTATCAAGTCAAATCTACAATGTGTACACCAGTCATCACTTCTCAGAATGGAGGTGGGTGAAAACCAGAATTATGTAGCAACTCCTCTGCCCTGACCTACACGTTTGGGAGATCTGATCAGATAGGACCCACATATACTACATTAGTCTTCGTTTTACTAAGCCAATACCCATCTGAAAAAGTTATGCAAAATACAAAGCACTCCAGGTATTGCCCACCTTACTTAAGAGTCTTTCTCTGACTTCTAAACTCAGTACTTATCCCAATCAAAATTCCACTACAGGCATTGACATTCACTTGGCTTCATATCAAAGTCATGAAAAAATACATATTTCATTTAGTTACTGTGTGAAACAATACATTGGCCATGGATCACTGGTAATGTATGTGAATCTTTTGATATGCTTAGGCTGAATTCTGAGTTTATAACAAAACCTGAAACTAGAGGCCTTTTCAACGTCATAACAGAAATTTAGCATTGCTCCAGTTACTGCCACACTTATATACTTGCACCATTCTACTATCCTGCTTTCTCGGAGGTAAACAGGAATTTTATACATGTATGGTAGAAAGAGCAAAATATTGGTGAGAAGCGTTGATTGGGTCTGAAAAGAAAATTTTGCCATTAGTACAAACATGTATATGCTTATATGAGAATTATTCCAAGATTTTCTCTAAGTTGGCTGTGCCTTTTTCAATGTTTGATTTATGCTGTTTAGAGGTGTATTTATTTAACTATTAGTGATCATAATGAAATAATTTGGTAGGCTGGTAAATTATTTTGTACATCACTGGATGGAAGGTTGGATTTGTGGGCACTTGAGGGTGCATTGGGCCCACAAGCAGGCAGTGGAGTGACAGGTGGGTTGCAGCTGGGTTCGGGGACAAAGCTGTCTGTCTTTGATGGTATGGAAGGAGGAACATATTGTGGGGGATACTTACATCCATCGAATGTACTGATTATTCCTTTAGAGAAGAATGATCTTTCTTGAGGCTTGCACCGGGGCGAATTTGAGAGTCAGCGTTTAGCAGGAATGTCGGTTGGATGTGGGCCAGTGGTGTCAGACATAAAGGGGGTTGGTTTGAAATGCTTGCAAGGCAGCTAGGATAGGGAGCTGCCAAGTCTGCTTGCATGGATCAAGACTGGAGAAGTGAACCAGGACATTGCTACAGTCTTACTGGACACAGGTGATGCAATCATTGCATGCAGGAAAATCAGGTACAATGGTCTTGAGCACTACAGGGAAACTGGGCACATTTATCAAACACTGGGGCCAATTTGTGGTTAGGAGAACTTAGAGATTGGATTGATGGAAGGCAGATACCAGGCACTGGGTTGAGGAATACGCCAAGCTAATTGCTGGCATCCCAATGACTGTGCAGGTGAGATGCTCAAGGGTGTTCCCAGAGACAAGCATGGATGAGAGACCCTGGAGATGACTGGTGGACTCTGTTAGCCTGGAGGAAGAAAGAGAGCCCTTAAGTTTTCATAGACTGAGGTGCTGTCATTCTTCCTCACAGATAGGATCCAAAGGAGGGCTGAATTGTAGGGGTTGGGTAGAATATATATTTAGTAAGAGGCCATTTAAGAGGCCATAGGGTAGTTTAGACCTCCCTATTCAAGTTAAAGCATAATAAAATGGTGGCTTTCTGCATTAAAACCCACCCCTGCACCATTTCTGCATCTGCAGATCAATGGCACTTTGAATCTCATCATTAACTTCACAACCCCAAAAAGCTGGAGTGACATTTGCAATCTCATTTGCAATCAATCACCTAATTATCCTGCATCACAATGGATTCGCCTTTAAGAACTGAATTCAATTACTACAGTTCTAGGGTGTCTACTAGTTGTTTTCAGGAGTATGTGTAACTCCCATTATGGTAGTTATCCTCATATGTATGCTATCAATGAGAGAATAGATCAGAGTCTACAGTGCTTATAGCTACTAAAATCAATAATTGTCATATGTTTGGGAGTGACAGTTTAGAGATTCTTATGCTATTTAGAAGTTTTAACTGTAATAAGACACAGGCATCAATTTGAAGATATTATACCTACCTTGGGTATTTTCTTTTCACTTGGGGAAAGTCCTCCCAGGGCTGCAAAAGGGGCTGAGAGCAAATAGCTGAGACGTAAAGGAACACGGTTAAAATGTCAAGAAAATGCATTATCTGCAAAGGTTCTGCTCATGTCAGTAAAGCATGAGACCAAAACTACATTTTAAAAATTCATACAGTTCCTCCCATTCTCTCAACTAGAAAAGGATCAAATTCTACCCTTTGATTTGGGTGCACAATTCCCAGTGAAGTTAATTTGAAATGCACTGCCATTTTCTGAAGACAGAATTTGACCATTTTGCATTTAAAATCTATGGGCCCTGGAGTGCTCAGCACCTTCAAAAGTCAGATCGTAGAGGTCTCAAATTGAGGCACATCGAATTAGTGAGCACATTTGAAAAGCCGGCCTTAACCTTGTGCCTTGGTTTCCACATCTATACAATGGGGGTATTTTCCTCTCATGGGGGTTTTTTGAGGCTAAATTCAGTAATGGCCGCAGAGCCCTAGGAGCACCGTGGGGAGGAGGACAATGCAAGTATGTGAGGCATCAGAAGGGAGTTTTCCTGCAGCATGCATGGATCAGCTGCATAGTGTTACAGGAATCATTGTTAAAAACAAAAGTCAATTCTGTGAGATGGGACTTGCTCTCTATTATTAGACGCGGAATCATCATTCAGCAGGAAATCTCACTGCTCCTTTCAAATATACTTACCAGTCTGCTGGTTTAGTGTCTAGTGAAGGAATCTCGGGAACAAAAGTAGTCAGCTGTGCCAACTCTAGCGATTTCCGAATGGAGACTAAACCAGCAGTAGTCTTTAAGTTAGCCATGATGAATGCTGTTAATAATGGTAAACTTTCTTATGTATTGCTGGTCTTACACACAGCTGGGTAGGGTTGGGGACTAGCTGCAGAAGGCTCACAGCCCCCTTCCTCTGTCATCCACTGCCTTGGATTTCTTCTAGACAGGCTACTGCATCATGTTTCCATGGAAGACATGAGACATAGTCTGTATTGGGACACAAGGGACCATTCTGGTGGTCATCAGATAGAGACAGTTTGTTACTATGACAAGTTCTTTCTATTATGACATCATGAAATCCTTGAAGAAATGATGTATAAAGCATCCTGCAGCTACATTGTAGTAGAAAACCCCCATTTGATGATTCCCCATTGACAACTAGTATTTGAGATGTCATTTAGCCAGTTCTTAATCCATTTAACATGTGGTTTTTTTATATTATATAGACTCAACTTTTAAAATCAAATTGCCTTATAAAAGTCGATGTATAGCACCTCAATGCAATTATCTTTTATCAATCAAACTTGTAATCTCAAAGAATGCAATCAGGTTTGACAAGACTGTTTTCCATAAAACTGTGCCGAGTGGCATTAATTATATTCCTACCCTTTACTTCCTTATTAATTGAATCATTTCTCAACTTTTCCATTATTTTGTCTGGGACTGATAGTTACGTGTACCTGTGCATTGCATCAGAAGAACTGTGCTAGCTACATCCATGTGTAAATGCTATTACAGGTCTGTCGCATCTTACACGCATTTAACATGCGCGATTTCAGCTTTATGTGGTTGGCAAAAACAAAAACAAGAGAAAAATAACAATTTTAATACTGTTCCTGTAGTGCGGGCGATTGTGCCCGCCATTACACTCAGTGTAATTTTGACTATACACGATTTTCGCTTTAAGCGCTGACTGCGGAACGTAACCCCAGCGTAAGAGGCGACAGACCTGTACAGCTAACATAGCTCTAGCATAGTTACTGTGAATAGTGTGGACAGAAATAAGAACCAGGGTGGCTCAGCTGTGCTACAGACTAATCGTCCCTCGATAGCCTGAAGTACATTTTTACAAAATGGCCCATACACTAGTATTATGGATCACAACTGAGAAGCAGCACGTCTGTGTCATGTAAAGTCGCTGGATGGGTTGTCAACTGTAGGGCCTGAACCTAAAACCCTATGGATCGAAAAATATAACTCTCTACTGCCTGAACAAAAAGACCGAGTTCTTAGCTTAAAGCCAGTAGCACAGTCCAAAGCCGTTATGTAGTCCAGCCACTAAAAGAGACAAAGAGGCAGCATGGGTTACACACACACACGTTTTTATTTCATTTGCTACCAAACAATGGTAATTGAATCTTCATGTGGAAAATGTTCACGTAAAAGAAACTGAACTGCAGTATATGTTCCGTTCCCAAATCCCTGCCTGGCAATTTAGATATGCACCATCATTAACATCCACAGTCTATTTTTAAGTACTCCCCTTTAATATAGATATTAAAAGTCAGAAGTCTCCACAGTTTCTTATTCCACATCAAGAACTAGAGACCAATCCTGAAGCTTGCCTGTAGTTGCAGGAAAATTTAGGGATGAAGCAAAGTCAATATAGATGTATAAATTCATAAAGGTGTGTTTGTCCCACAGATTAGACCACAATTTTAAGCCTTTTTTTAAAATAACACACATTTTAGAAAGACTTAATAGTAATAGATATTTCCTGATTTACTTTTTTCAAATTTTTATTTGGATTGAAATGTTCTACTGCAGCCTTGAATCAAAAGATTTCAATATTGAGCCAGTCTGAGTGCCTGAAACTTTTTAGAAAATGACTGTAATCAAAAGGAAACTAACTTGCAGAGAAAGGGAGTGAAAGCTGTAGGGTTTGTCTGTTAAGCAAGGATTTGATTGGGGTTTGCCATTCTTACAGATGGTTACATTCTGGGAATCCATGTCCCAGAAACACCATTCCAGAGTATGGGTTCTTTTCACTGGGAGGTGGACATAACCTGCCCACCTACTCCTCCCCAGATTGTCCATTTAATCACAACAGAGTTTCACCATCTATGAAGAGACTGGGAGAATGAAGAAGCCCAGTCTCTGCTTCTTGTGACGAAAGGAGATGAACAAAGGAGATCTGGGGTATGTCTACACTGCAAAAATAAATAAATAAAAAAATAAAAAAGACCTGCAGCATCAAGTCTGAGTCTGGGTTAACTGACTAAAAATAGTAGTGTAGATATTTGGGTTCTGGCTGGAGCCCATGGTCTGAAACCTGGTGAGGGGGGTGGATCTCAGAGCCCAGGCTCCAGCCCAACGCTGAATGTCTACACTGCTATTTTTAGCCCCGCAAGATGAAGTCTGATGACTTGAGCTCTGAAACTCACTGCCATGGGTCTTTTTCACAGTGTAGACGAACCCTCAGTTCCATTTTGGTCTACTACCATAACAGGTAGAGATAAATGAGTGAGTCCACATGAACCCTCCTAGTCACTCCCACCTCCCAGGGAGGAGCCATAGATCTCCAAAGTAATGAAGGTCAGAGGCTAAGAGTAAAAACAAACTAAATTATTGTTCCAACTGATCCACTGATTCTATCTTTGGACTCTCACTGCCTGGAAAGCAAGAATCGATTCCCATAATCAGCCCCTGTCCCATTCATCCCCATGGCCTTTCAACATTTTGGGAGGAAGAATTAGCATCCCCAACAATCAGAAATGGGTAGACAAATTTGACCCTAGATGAGGAAAAAACTGGATGAAGTCCCTTATGTTTTACTTTCCATAGGGCCCCCAGAAATAGCCTAAGACCAGCCCGGCACATAGAAGTTTTAGAATACTTCCCTGCCCATTCCCCCCCATTTTGTCTGGATGGCAAATATTGACTTCTAGTGTCTGGTCTCACTGTGTTCTGAATGGAGATCAATTTTATATGGATTTTGGGACTCTTCTTCCCACCACCAACTCAGTCAATGTCTATATCTAAAATCTGTTTAAGACGTCTCCTCACTCCACAGACATCATCCATCATTTATTTATTTATATAGATACACAGGTTTAACATATATATTTAATTTCCAGTATTACAAAATCTTAAGTGTTACATGTATATAAAGGAAAATATGGTCCTTTAATGCTGAATAGTAGCAACCGAAGGAACTATCAGGTAGATCCATCTTGGCTAAAGGGCCTTCCCCAAATGCTAGCTTCAGCTGTTGGGTGAAAGGCAGCATGTATCTGAAGAATTAACAATCTCCCCTTTGTCCTCTTTTGTGCAATTTTTACAACTAACCAATAAATTTTTTTCCCCTTTACCATATTCAAAGAATATATCCTGTTAAGCAATGTAATCAGTAGGGATTCTCTCAAGACATCTTAGCAGAAGAAGTGATTGGCAATCCCAATTTAAAGATGCAGTTTTGTTAACTAGGAAACATTATTAGACACTGCACAAATTTTATTCTCTCATTAAAGTAAAAGTATGTAGTGTATAAAGACATTACTTCTGACTATAGTTTCACTACTACAGAACTATCCCAAAATAAAGACAATAAATATTTAGCAGAATATAGCAGTTTCAAGGAGCTGGATCAAAGTAATTCAAGCTAACAATAACATAAAAAAAACCCACTGCTGATTTGCTAAATGCCCTTTTACTACATATTAGATTACGTTTGTGTGAATAGTCTTAGTAAATACTCTCAGCTGAGTTCCTTTGTGTTGCTGCAATCTTATTATTATTTCATATTTCTATTACTGTAGCTCCCAGGAGCCCTAGTCATGGAGCAGGACTCCATTGCGCAAGGTGCTGTAAAAACACAGAATACGGTCTCCGCCCCAAAGAGCTTACAATCTAAGTATAAGACAAAAAACAACAGATGGGATACCGACAGATGGGAGAGTACAAGGAAACAATTAGGTAACATTGGTCAGCATGATCAGCAATACTTTCAAAGCAGATCAGAGTTACACTGTATCCTGAAGATATAGCAGTGTCAGCAATTTTATGTAAAGAAGCAATTACGTCAAATGGATTTTACAGTCATCCTAAATAAAACGAAGGGAGTTTTGTAGATGTCTGCTGATGCCTAATAAATAAAATATTGTCTTGCAATGATTTTCAACAAATTGCTCAAGAAACAAAACTGGAAATCTAGTGAATTTTAAATTTTATTGTGAGTACAGTTGCAATTTGTCTAGTGAGTTCCAGAAACACAAAGACCAATTTTTTTCAATGATTTTGTAAAGTTAGATCTCTAAATCCATATTAAAAATATACTCTTGTTTAACTATAGGTATTGGACTTGAAGCAGGAATTAACTCAGCAAAGTCCTATGGCCTGTGTTATGCAGATAGTTAGACCAGAAGATTACAATGGTCCCTTCTGACCTTTAAAATCTATGAATATTAACACCTACATAAGTAGGTTGATATTCAGAGGTGCTGTGCATCTGCTACTTCCGTATAAATTAACGGCAGCCATGGTGCTCAGTACCTCTGAAAGTCAAACCACTAATATTAGGAGCTCACGTTTGAAATTTTTGGTCCGTATGTATAACAACTGATACTATCAGAAATACTACCAGGGCCTAATCATTTTCCCACAGCAGACAATGGCAACAAGATTGGACTGTCATTGCTCACTCGCAACTTTGAGAGAAATGACACTGATCTACTATGCTATGAGAATATTTTATGAAAGTACTAATAAGGAAGCATATTATAAAAATATTATATTATTAAAATGTACACAGGATGGATAGATTAGATATTTAGGTTGCTATGGCGCACACAATAGTTGAAGTACTACTACTGCCTGCTGTTTATATAGTGCCTTTCATCTTCAAGGATCCCAAAGTGCTTTATGCTTGGCTGTACAAGCAAACTAATCACAAATTATTATAGTCTTGCTCCTGTTCCCATTGAAGCCAATGAGAGGAGAATCAGGCTCTATATACAGGGATCACTCCACACATTATTAAAATACATACATTTAGGACAGGAAGCAAAGAATACTATATCCAATTAAAATCGCAGAGGCCATTTAGAGAAGCAGCATGTCATTACTCAAGATATAATTTGGCTAGGACACTGGGATTAACTCCACTATCCTTAAATCTAGTGATAGAGTAAGTTGATCTTTTGGAAGGAAGCCCACCCGTTGAAAACCATTTTGCAGATTAATGTTGTTTTGCTGTTTCATAGCAAGGTTCTCAGATTGTAACCTTGGTCTACAGAAAATATCCGTAATGTAGAATCTTTACATACATTGTCCCCCCCGCCCCGACTTTGTTTTGAATGATTAATGTTAACGATGATGAACATTCTTTGAAGGATTGTTAGATACATTATGGTTGATTAGATTTTTCAATTACTTCTTTTTGAACATTTCAGTTTGTTTTTTTATTTACTTATGCCAACAATTCAAAAGCATTTCAAACAAGTAAATCCGTCTTTACCATGCTACAAGGCTGCTACTTGCAGCTAAGGTGGTGGTTGTTTTTTTTCCTAGGTATACTATCACATTCATGTATAAAACTTCTGTAATAATGTGTATGTTCCATTGGAACATTATATATTATCCCTAGAAGCTCCTTAGGCTAAAGAGGGGGCAGGAGAGGGAGGTTGCTTACACTGTGACTTAATCTTTATCTGCCACTGTACATTTCCCCTGAGCCTCCATCTTTTCATGCCAGACTTAACTACTCCCTTTCAGATATTTCTAAC